GACGGAAACTCTGGGCTAAATCCCCGGCCCGATATATTTTATTTATTTATTTAGTACCAGGGATTGAACTCTGGTCTTTGCTCTTGCAAGGCCCTGGCTGATACATTTTAGATTTTAAAAGATCCATTAAGACTTGTTTTGTGGCTTACTAAATGGCATGTCTTGAAGAATGTTACATGTGTAGTTGAGAAGTATGCTCATTCTATAGCCATTAGATTTAAATTCTGTATATATCTATTAGGTCCATTTTATCTAAAATGCAGTTTGATTCCAGTTTTTCCTTATTAATTTTTCTCTCTGCTTAATCAGTTGAAAGTGGGACAATGAATCTTCTACTTTTATTTTATCATTGTCCCTTTATGTCCATCAATATTTGCTTTATTTACTTAGGTACTCTGAGATCGGATGCATGTATATGTTTACAACTATTATGTCCTCTTGGTAATCAAGCCCTTTATCATTAAATGATGACCTTCTTTGCATCTTATAACAATGTTTTTATGGTATTAGGTGTTAAATTCAGGGCCTCATGTAGGCTCTGTCACTGAGCTACATACCAGCCCCTTTCATAACAATTTTTAACTCAAGGTCTGTTTTTGTCTGATATAAGTATAGCTACACCTGCTTTCCTTGGGTTACCAATTGCATGGGATATCTTCTTTCAACCACTTACTTTTAGTACATGTGTATCCTTACGGCTAATCTGGTCTTTGTAGGCAGTATGTAATTGGATACTGTTTTTTAATTCCTTTAGTCACTGTGTCGTTTGATTGGAGAATTTAATATTTACATTCAGAGTAATTACTAATAGATAAGGAGTTACTATTGTTATTTGTTTACTTGTCTTCTGGCTGTTTTGTAAATTGTTTTTCTTTCTCCCTCTGTTGTTTTATTTGTGATTTGGTTATTTTCTTTACTGCTATGTTTTGATTCTTCTCTTTATTGTTTGTGTATCTGCTGTAGCTTTTGCTTTGCCATTACCACGTAGTTTGCATACAATATCTTATAATAGTAACACCTTAACTTCAGTTGTACTTTTTTCTTTGTGGTGTTGGGGCTGACGCATGCTAGGGTAGTGCTTTACCATTGAGCTACATCCCCAGCCTATGACTCTAGACTTTAAACTTCTGTCCTGATTTATATTTTTGGTATCACAATTTACTTATTTTATATTACATATTTCTTAAAAACAAATTGAAGTTACGGTATTTTTCACTGTTTTGACTTCTAACCTTCATACTAGAGATAACATGTGATTTACAGAGAGCCATAACAGTATGGGTTTTATGGATTTTACTATTACTAGTGAATTTTATGCTTTCATATATTTTCATGATAGTAATTAGCATCTTTTTATTTCAAATAACTCCCTTAAGCATTTCTTGTGAAGCAGGGGTAGTGGTCAAGATTTTGTTGGTCTGAGAAAGATTTTATTTCTCTTTCATTACTGAAGGACAGCTTTGCTAGGTGTAGTGTCCTTGGCTGGCAAGGTTCCCCTCTCAGCACTTTGAATACTTCAGTCCATTCTCTCTGGGCCTGCGGAGTTTCTGCTGAGAAATCAGCTGATTGTCTGGTGAACCATCTCTTATTTGTGACTTGCATGTACCTAAGACCAACACCATCCAGGTGATGCCAAACTCTGTCACCAAGCTTCCTTCTGCCTTGGCTGTAGGGGACCAGTCCCTATGAACCGGATCTTGAGGGACAAATCCCTAGGCTGCTGCCAATCTGGAACATGGTGCTCTCTGCAATCTTCTCAAAGCAAAGTCTTTCACTTTTGCAGTTTTGAGGGTGGAGCTGGATCTTGTCATGTCCTCAAGTCTTCTATTCTCCTCAGCTCTGTCTTTGCAGTTCACAACTTTACTCACAACATTTTAAATTATTCTACTGGGCTCTTTGCCTTTGATTCTCAACATAGATGTGGATAAAAGGACCCAACAGTAGCCATGCCACCACCTCAATAGTACCCTGCCTTGAAATTTCTTCTGCAAGATTAATTAGCCAACCACCCTAATCACAGTGTCAGGCAGTCTCTGGAATGAGCAAAATGCAGACAAGGCATACCGCACACGGACCAGAGTCCAACAGTCAGTGCAATCCCTCTTCCCAGCGGAAACCTCCCGAGCCTGGTCTTTACTGGCAGCATTTCTATAGGATTCTGGTCTTCTGAATTCTGACCAGAATCTCCCATCACATATAGCTTGGAGCATTCCAGGGCTGCTTCTTCAGCCAGCTTCTCCAAATTGTTCCAAAGTCTTCCCACAAGCCAGTTCCAAAGGCTTTTGAACCACATGGTCAGGTCACAGCAATGACCCCATTTCTCTGGTACCAAAATCTGCCTTAGTTGCTTTTCTCATTGCCGAGACAAAATACCTGACATCCAAAGTTAAAAGAGGAAAGCTTTATTTCAGCTCACAGTTTGCAGAGGTTTCAACCCGTAATTGGCTGGCTCCAGGGCAGGATGGCACGGCAGAAGGGCATTGCAGAGGAGAAACAGTCCATGGCAAAGCAGAGCAGGCAGAAGGCAGCAAGCAGCAAGCAATTAACAAGCAGCAAGCCTGTTTCTGTCCCTTATATCTTATGCAGAATAACTGTTCTTAGGGCCAGTAGCACTCACACCCAGGGTAGGGAACTGTGCCAAGCCAATCAGTGGACTAATTACACACCGTTGATCACAACTCCAGTTCTAGCCTCCCCTGAAAAGCCCCACCTATGACTGCATGAGGTCTTAGGGGACACTGAGATGCAAGCCATAACATCCACTCATTCCTGGAGCAGAACAGACGCCAGCAGCTGCTCTGGTTCCAATGTGGCATTGTGCAACAGCTGCATGGGCCTTGGGCTGGGGCACAGTATGGGCTCCTTCTCTGGGGTGACACGGTTGTGGACCAGGAAGCTCCTGCAGAGGGCTCAGTGCCTGAGTCTGCAGTGATCTTTAGTGGGGCATGGTAGGTGTGGTGGTAGTGGGCTGCTGGGGTCCTCTCACTCACCTGTCCCACCCCAGTGGGGGATGGGGTGGTGGAAGTCAGGGATTCCGCCCACCCTGGATGGCTGTTTCTGCTGCTCTTTCATATATTCTGAACCCTCCTTTAGTTACTTTCACCAAAATATATGAGGGATGGTCAAAATACACAGTGAATGTTTAATTTTAAAGATTTAGTAGAGTGAAAGACACATTACTATTAATTTCTCTCAAAATACTCACTGTCCTGTTAAACACACTTATCCTGTCATTTTTGCCACTTCTGCAGCAGTTCTGAAAGTCCTCTTTTGTGGTTGTCTTTATGAGGTATGGTTAAAAATGTGAAGGTGTGATAAAAAATGTGATAATTGCTGCTCCTGAATGCCATTCAACAAAATGTAGGCTCGTACGAACATTATGGTGTGTCCTCACCCTCCTTGTTCACTAGTTGCAGCACCATATGACGTCTGGTTCTTCCCTAAAGTCAAAATGATCATGAAAGGTAAATATTTTACATCGACTCAGGACACTGAGGCAGCCAGAACAGTGCAGCTAAAGATGCTCATGAAGGATGACTTCCAGATCTGCTTCAGAAAGTGGCAAGAATGACGGACGGGATGGATGTATTCAAAGTGATGAGTACTTTGAGGGAGATAAATGGCAATGAGTCTTTTACTGTAATATATTAAGAAATAGGTATTCACCATAATTTTTGACCATACCTCATATTTGGTGGTTTGTTGTTTGGCTGTCTTTGCGGGGTGGGTGAACACTAAGGGCTCCTGGTCAAGCCATCTTGCTGATTTCAAGAAATCTGTGTTTTCAGTTAGCTTGCAGTACAGGTGGATTCTTGTTTACCGTTTACTCTCATTGTCCAGCTGAGCGCTGACTTGCAGTGCATGCACAGCAAGCCTTCAGTTACTCTGCACTCTCCCCTTCCCTAGGGTGTCCTCAGCAGGAGAGTGACATTGCCTTCCTGATTGATGGCTCCGGTAGCATCCATGCACTTGACTTTCAGAAGATGAAGGAGTTTGTCTCAACTGTGATGGACCAATTCGAAAAGTCTAAAACCTTGGTGAGGGCCAATGGGGAAGTTAGGGAGCAGCCCCCATGAGGGTGACAAATGCCTGGCAACCAGACCTCCACTTTCCCTCCTACTGCAAATGCAGACATTGCCACCTCAACAAGTGTTGTGCTACTTCTCCGTTCTCTGCTGTGCTTGGGTGCAGCCTCAATCTCCTCTTAGCCCCGGTAAAGCAGGCAGTGCTGACTAACTGGCAAGGCCGGCATGGGGGATGAAACCCACGTCTTCTATTGCTGAGTTCCAATACTGAGAAGAAGTGGGAGATGTGGGGAAGGAATCTGGAAATTGGAGTGTTCTGAGATTTACGGAGGGCTCACTGGGAAGAGGGCACCTTCCCCAGGCTAATGCCGGGTGCCTTGTTCCCAGTTCTCTTTGATGCAGTACTCAGATCAGTTCCGGACTCATTTCACCTTCAGTGATTTCAAGAAAAACCCTAACCCAAGATCTCTGGTAAACCCAGTAAGACAGCTGTATGGGCTGACACACACTGCCACAGGCATCCGCAAAGTAATGTAAGTCCTTTCTTCTTTGCTCAGGATGGAAGGAGGCGGAGATATTTTTAGCTAGGGTTTGAAGGATGAGGGGAGTTGCTCAGACAGGGCTGGGATAGAGCATATTTCCAGGGGAGGGAACAGCTTGAGCAACGGGTTAAAGGCGGAACTGTGTGTTGTGCAAACATGAAAAAACAAGTTGGAAGTAAAGGGGGGCACAAGGGAAGGGGCTAGGAAGTAGGTTGAGTCTAGGTCACCGAAGGCAGCTCTATGGCAGCGTGGATTGATGGATGGCTCTAATCCGGGGGGAGATGTCACATCTTGTTTCCAAAATGTCACAGTGTGTTTATAAGGCGAGGGTGGGCTGTGTATTGTGGGAGGCACTGTGGTATATTCTAGGAGAGAGTCAATGAATGCCTGCTTAAGTCCATTTCTTGTTTTAAAATTTCTAAACTTAAAAGTCATAATATTCAGTTTAAGATACCAAACTATGCAAATGCGTATAAAGTCCATGAAAGCTTTCTTTCTCTCCACCCTTCTGTTCCCTCTGCTGCCTTTCCATTTCTCGGGGCAGTCACATCTCAGGACTAAGTCGCAGCGGAGACAGACCCCAGCCATGCCTGTGTCTGTGACTCTCCTGACGTCCCCTCCCTAGCTTTCACGACATCTCTGTCTACTTGCATTTGACAGAAGAGAACTGTTCCAGCGTGCCAGTGGAGCCCGGGAGAATGCTGTAAAGATCCTAGTTGTCATCACAGATGGACAGAAATATGAAGATCCTTTGACGTATGAGGAAGTCACCCCAGAGGCAGACAGACAGGGCATCCTTCGCTATGTCATTGGGGTAGGAGATGTGACTCTTGGGCCTGATGCTCCTGTGCAGAGCTTCTCCTGGGTACACCCACCCACAATTTGCAAAGAGTGGCAAAATCAAAGTGAGGTCAAGGTTCCTGCCAGCCCGGACACAGCATATCACCTAGTGGATGTCACAGTAATGCTGGACAGTGAATCATTCCGAAATTTGGGGGCTTGAAATAATGAGGAAAGCTAGGCCTAGTGGTTCAAGCCTGTAATGCCAGCATTCTGGGCAGCTGTGGCAGGAGGATCATGAGTTCGTACCCTGCCTGGGCAACTTACTACTTAGTGAGATCCTGTTTCAAAACAAATAAAAAATAAAAAGGGCTGGGCATACAGTTCAGTGTGGAGGCCCATGGTTCAATTCCCAGTACCACATAAAACAGTAAGTTTATAGGTCACCGGATAGTTTTCCTGTCTCAGCTGGAGTCACATTTGTAATCAGCAGCAGGCTTTTAGGGAGATCTGCTCGTCTTCCCCAAGGCCCCCCCCGCCCCCATTTCTACGAGTCGCCATGTATGTTTGCTGCACAGATGTCCTTGGTGGAAACAACTGGAGTGATTTGGCTCTTCTGCTTCCTGGGTCTCATTCTCTAGTGGGCTGGCCTGGGTGTAGGCTTACGATGAAGGCAGAGGAATAAGAGAGCAAGTGGAAATGTTGCAGGTGTCTTTTCAAGCCTCTGTGTCAATTTGATAACATTCATGGACTAAACCAAGATCCAAGAGTAGGAGAGAACAGCGAGGTTCTGGGGAAAGGGCTCGGATGCAGGAAGACGTGAGGGTTAGGATCATCATATAAACAAACTACCACAGCACCTTGTGTGGCATGGAGAGAAGCAGCATCATGACACATAGCTTGGCGTGTAAGAAACACCCTCATACACATAGAAAAGGCTCCCTTTCCTCTGGGGGGAGGTCAGCTTGTACCAGGAGGCACGGCAGAGCAAATGGGTCAAAGCCAAGTTTAAGTCCCCAGGGCTCTCTGCCCCGCACACCATACAGTGCTTGTGGGCCATGTCCCAGGGCTGTCTGCTATATTCTCTCATTTGTCAAACTACATTTCAGATTATTGCCTAAGGATTTTCCCTAGGTGTTACTGTTACTCCCGGGTCGCATCTGATTTGTCCTTTACTCCTCGGTAACAGGTGGGAGATGCCTTCAGCAGTAACAAGAACCGCCAAGAACTTAACAGCATTGCATCTGCACCCCCTCATGACCATGTGTTCAGGGTGAATAACTTTGAAGCTCTGAAGACCATTCAGAATCAGCTTCAGGAAAAGATCTTTGCCATTGAGGGTGAGTGTGCATCAGAGCTTGTCGAGGAGCTCCAGACGCTGACCAGGCCCTCCTAAACCTCGGTATTCTGAACCTCAACAGCAGCTCCCTCCCGGTCACCTGGGCTTCGCTTAGCCACTTCCTTTGAAATCAGAGAATCTAGGCCTTGTTTCTAATTTTATAAGTCTCGGCCTTAGGGTGAAAAATTGAAGTGTGGGGGAGTCCAATCCCACACAGTATTTCCCCCAAATTGTGGATGTGTTGTCAGTATGTATTTGCTTAGAGAAGTGCCTGGTACACAGAAAGTGGCCAATAAATTAAAAAAAAAATATATATCTATATCTAGATATATATATTCTACCAAATGATGTGTGCACACCTCAGGAAAAGGAAAACTTGTGTAGTTATTTGAACACTAAATTTGCGGAGACGTTATGAGATTCATACCAGTTACCTCTGGCCTCCACAATGGCAAGACTGGAGCCCACGGGCTCCAGACCTTTACTGGTCCTGCTGCCTGGGTGACCTTGGCCATGGAGACTGCTGCACACGCATTTTCAATTTCTTCTTTAGGGGCTGGCGATGCAGTGGGTTTTCTGCAACATACGACATCCTGTAGGGTCCCCTATAGATAACAGTATTAAAATATTTTATACAAACTTTTTTTATGAAGTGTGTATACATTTTTTGGTGGACTCTGCGTGTGATATATATATAAATAATCTGGGGACTGAACCCAGGGCCTTTGAACTACAATTCCAGCCTTTACCCAGGGCCTTTGAACTACGATTCTAGCCTTTTTATTTTTTTGAGAAGGGGCCTTACTAAGTCTCAGAATTGCCCAGGCTGGACTTGAGTTTGCAGTCCTCCTGCCTCAGCCTCCCAAGTAGCTGGGATAACAGGTGTGCGCCACGATGCCTGGCTTCAATAAATGTTTACTGAATGAAAGAATTTAGAAATTGGGGAATTTCATGTACAATCTGTCTTTATGTCTTCTCTTGAAAAGTTGGAAGATCAGACACCCCGAGGCCCGCACTCTCACTTGACGCAAACAAGCTGCAGAGGCCCAGCTGCCACCCCTGAAGAGGGCATGTGCTCTCCAGTCCAACACAGATCCCACTGAGCCTCCCACCGAGCCCTGCTTTCTCTGATGTTAGACATCTCCCCTCCTCCAGGTACTCAGACCGGAAGCACCAGCTCCTTTGAGCACGAGATGTCTCAGGAGGGCTTCAGTGCAGCCCTTACCTCTGTAAGTGTTGCTTCATTGCTAGGGTGGTGGGGACAGGAGGAGCGGAGAAGAGGCGAGGGAGGGGCTCTGTGATGGGCAGCCTGGCCCCTTCGTGACCCTGTTCAACCTCTTCCCAGAGTGGCCCCCTGCTGGGCTCTGTGGGCAGCTTTGGCTGGGCTGGGGGAGCCTTTCTGCATGCGTCAAAGGGAAAGGTCACCTTCATCAACACAACCAGAGTGAATTCAGACATGAGTGATGCTTACCTGGGTAAGTGGAGAGAGGCCCGGGCTCCTCCAGGAAGGGGTAAGGGCGCAGTGTAATCAGCCAGTACAGATTCTGCTGGATCTTTCTGTGGACAGCTGTAAAGACAGAAACTTCATAATTGATTTTTTTTTTTTTGGTACCCGGGATCAAATTTGGGCCCTTGCGCTTGTGAGGCAGGTGGCGGCACCACTGAGCTACATCCCCGGCTCAAAATGGAATTTTAATTAGGTGTGGTATGAATGCCTTAATCCCAGCACTTTGGAAGGCTGAGGCAGGAAGATCGAGCAGAGCCCCGCCTGGACCATTTAGCAACTTAGCGAAACCCTGTCTCAAAATGAAGAATAAAAAAGGACTGGGATGCAGTTCAGTGGGAAGGCCTTGGTTCAGTCCCCAACACTGGGGAAGAATACGTTCACAGAGAGGAATATAGCACAGGGCTCAGTTACCACAGCCCGCCAAGCACAGGGCTGCCCCGTTGCCCTGACTCTAAGCTGGGCCTACACGACAGGACGACAGGACGGGCGTGGGCCCGGTGAGGGGAAGCGCTTGCTCTCAGGCCCCATCTTTAGGTTATGCTGCTGCGGTCATCGTGAGGAGCCAGGTGCAAAGCCTGGCTCTGGGGGCGCCTCGGTATCAGCACACTGGCCTGGTGGTGCTGTTCAGACAGAACGCTGGTGCCTGGGAGACCATGGCCAACATCTGGGGCAGCCAGGTGAGTGCAGACCTTGCCGAGGTTGCGCATGGCCCACGGGCTCGGCTTTGCATGTGGGGATGCTGTGTGCTGCACATTTTAAACAACAGTAAATGACAACGTTTGATCTGTACTGAGCTCTCTACTATTCTACCTGTACCCAGAACTAGTATTCAACCGGTGCAGAACCAGTATAGCCACGTTAATTTTTAGAATGTTGAAATAATTCCACAGCTGGATGGCTCTGTCCTTAGTCAACCCAGTGTCCTCTGACTAGGGAATACAGGAGCAGACTGTGGTAGCTTCCATGATGGGACGCTGATGTTGGACACCTGTATGTGCCACCGCACAGGTGGATCCTGGATGCAGAGTTCTAAGTGGAAGAAGCCAGTTCCAAAAGGCTACATGCCACAAAATTCTGTTCAGATAACATTCTGGAAAAGCAAAACTACTGGGACAGAAGACAGATGAGGGTTACCAGGGACTGGAGGGCTGGGGAAGGCTGGCTGTGATGAGCAGAGCAGACACTCTGGGGATAGATGAGACTCCTATAACACGGCTATGGTGGTGGTTAGATGACTCTGAAGGTTGTGAAAACCAAAACTGCACTGAAAGGGCTGAATTGATGTGTAAAGTTCACCCCAATAAACCTGACCTAAAAAAGTAGGAATCCTACTGACATTAGTGGCTGTTAGTCTCCCCGCGGTGGTGTTCGGGGCAGAGGCCGTGTTGCCCTGAGTCCTGGTGTGATGTCCTCTGTACCCGTCCTTCCTAGAGCTTAGCCAGGTTGAAAACTGCCACATATATATTTCTGTGTCTACCACCCAGCCTGTGCAAATAGCAAGCCCTTGTTTGTTGAATCAATGGATAATTAAGCAGAGGAATCCTATGGATGAATTCTACATATTGACATTGACCATATTTAAAAAATTTTATACTGAGTGGTAGACCTTATTTCTCAATATCACACAAAAATTCCCCAGTGGCAATTGTTATTTTTAATCCAACCGGTTGGTGCTTTATTAGTTAGACTGCTGACTTTGACCCCCGCCAAGATCTCCACTATATTAAAGGGATAACCTGTCTGCTCTTGTAGGTTTTTCTGTTACAGTGAGACCAAGTCCACTGCCACCTGACTCTATAGTATGCTCCTCTAGCTGGTAGCACACTCAAATAAGAATTTAAAATGAATCATCTAAAAATCACATCCTCTCCAAAAAGTTTTCCTCAGCAGGCACAATGTTTTCTTCACAGAAAGGGCACCCCTATGCCCCACTTTGGGTGGGAAGGCGTATGAGATCTTGGCCCATGTCTTTCAGATCGGCTCCTACTTTGGGGCCTCCCTCTGTTCCGTGGACATGAACAATGATGGCAGCACTGACCTGGTCCTCATTGGGGCCCCCCATTACTACGAGTCCACACAAGGGGGCCAGGTGTCTGTGTGTCCTCTGCCCAAAGGGGTGAGTGCTGGTGGGACCTGGGTTGGGGGTTTGGGTGTGGGTGGAGGGTTTGCCTATTTGGGGGCCTGACATTGTTTTTGTTTAGCAGAGGGCTCGGTGGCGATGTGATACCCTTCTCCGTGGGGAGCAGGGCCATCCCTGGGGCCGCTTTGGGGCAGCCCTGACAGTGCTGGGGGACGTGAATGGGGACAAGCTGACAGACGTGGCCATCGGGGCCCCAGGAGAGCAGGAGAACCAGGGTGCGGTCTACCTGTTTCATGGGGTGTCAGTAGTCAGCATCAGCGCCTCACACAGCCAGGTAAGGGCTGGTCACTGTCCTTGTCATAGCGGTAACTTCTTTGCTGATCTGTCCCCTCCAAATTCAACATTCCTACAGCTGCCACATTCATGCTCCCAGTATTCCTTTCGGAACCTTCAAAAATGACTTCACAGAAGCCCCAGGAGATTCTAGAGTGATTCTTCTTGCCATGACGGGAGGTGGTTGGCTTTCCAGTTCTACCGAACCAGTGCCAGTTCTCTTCCATTACAGCTGCGGTCAGACAGGCTTCCTGCCTGCGGTCTCTGGCTCTTTTCTAGCCTCATTTTTCTTTCTTTTAAAAAAATTTATTGTGGTAAGAACACTAAACACGAGATCTACCCTCTCAGCAGATTTGGATGTAAGGTATCGTGTGGCTCTCAGTTGTTACGCTGTTGTACAGCATGTCTCCAGTGCCTGCTCGTCTAGAGGAACTGGGACTTTATACCCATGGGTTAGGAATTTCATTTCCCCACCTCCAGTGCCTGGCACCCACCGTGCCATCACTGTTTGCTTCCATGATTTTTACTATTTTGGATGATGCTCATGAGTGGAGCTGTCTGTCCTCCCGTGTCTGGCTTATTTAATTGAGAATAATGTCGTCTAGCTTCATTCCTGTTGTCACAAATGACTGAATTTCCTTCTCTTTAGAGGCTGAATTGTATTGATTGTGTCTTTGGAAAACATTTTGGCAATATTTTGTAATTTTTAGTATTCAAGTCTTTTAATTCCTTAGTTAAATTTAAGTTTTATTCTAAATACTTTATTCTTTTTTATGCTGTCATCAAAGGGGCTGCTTTTCAGATTTCACTTTCAGATATCACATTACTGATGTGTAGACAACTGACTTTAATTTACAATTTTAATTGTGACATAATAATTGTATATATCTATAGGGTACAATGTGATATTTTAGTAGTACATGTTGGTGGTACATGATGAATACATCCATTGTGAATAGTTGGTAGATACATAAGACACATCTTAATTCTTTTTACATCTCCTTCCTGTTCACCTTCCAACTCCCAACATTTCTTGGTCTTCTCTTGCAAAAGATCTATCTCCTTATTTCCTTTTATATATCCTTTATTTTGCTCTTTAATTTATTTATGCTTTGGGTTTCTCATACATGAGAAACCATGAAATATTTAAGCTTGTGTGCCTGATTTATTTCACTTAATATTATGGATTCAAGGTGCATCCATTTTCCTACAAATGACACAAATTTATCCTTCTTTCTATCATAATGGTTCTGCATTGTATATAAACGCCACATTTCATTATCCATTCATCCCTTGCTGGACATACAGGCTGCTTCTAAGATTTAGCTATTATAAATTGTGCTGCTACTAACACGAGTATGCATGTGTTACTGCAATATGATGTCTTTAACTCTTTCATGAAGAAGGGGAATAGTTTGATCAAATGGAATTTCTAGGTTTAGCTTTTTGAGGAATCTCCATACTGATTTCCACAGTGGTTGTACTAGTTTGCCTTGCCCCCAACAATGTAGAAGGAAGAGCTCCTTTTCCACACAGCTGTGCCAGATTTGTTATTATTATTTGATTTCTTGGTGATTGGGCTTCTTTCTGGAATAAGAGGGACTCTCAGTATTGTTTTATTTTATTTTATTTTTTTGGTACCGGGGATGGAACTCAGGACCTTGCACTTGCGAGGCAGGTGGTGGAACCACTGAGCTAAATCCCCGGCCTTATTTTGCATTTTTTAAATGGTCAGCAATGTTGAAAATATTTTCATGTATCAAGGACCGTTTGTATTTCTTCTACTGAGAAGTATCTCTTTCTTTTAGCTGGCCGTTTTTGATTGGGTCTTTCATTTTTGGGGGTTTAATTTTTTTCAGTTCTTTATATTTTATAGTTCTATTTATTTATAGTTCTATATATTTATGTTTATATTAATCCTCTGTCTGAAGTATAGCTGGCAAAATATTTTTTCCCATTCTGTAGGGTGTCTCTTCATTCTGTTGGTTGTTTCCTTTGCTGTGCAGAAGCTTTTTAATTTGACATGATCCCTTTTGTTAATTCTTGATGTTATTTCTTGTGAAACTGGGGTTCTGTTCAGAAAGTCCTTGCCTGTCCCTATGTCTTCAAGAGTTTCATCTATTTCATCTCCCATCAGGTTAAGTACGTCTTTTTTTTTTTTTTTTTTAGTATCAGGTATCAAACTCAGGACCTTGCGCTTGAGAGGCCAGTGCGCTGCCACTGAGCTAAATCCCTGGGCCTTTAAGTGCTTCTGTTTTAACATTTAGATCTTTGATCCATTTTCATTTTAGTTTAGTACATGGTGAGAGATATGGGTCTAGATTCAATCTTTTGCATGTGGATGCCAGTTTTCCCAGAACCATTTGCTAAAGAGGTTATCTTTCCTCCAGTGTATATTTTTGGCTCCATCATCAAAGATTGATAACTGAATGTGTTTGGGTTTGTTTCATCCTCTACTCTGTTCCATTGGTACACATGTCTATTTCTATGCCAGTACCATGCTGTTTTTTATCATGGTAGCTTTGTAATCTACTTGAAATCTGGGATTGTGATGGCTCTTGCTTTGCTCCTGTTACCCAGGATTGCTTTTGCTATTCTGTCTTTGCTGGTTCCAAGTGTATTTTGGGATTGTTTTCTCTAGTTCTGTGAGGAATATTGTCAGTATTTTGTTGGGATAGCATTAAATCTATGTATCAGTTTTGGAAGGGTGGCCATTTTGACAGTGTTGATTCTGCTTATCCAGGAACAGGTGATATCTTTTCATTTTCTGATGTCATCTTCCATCTCCTTTTCCATTTTCTGAGTACTGCAGTTTTCATTGTAAAGGTCTTTCACTTCCTTGGTTAGGTTAATTCTTAGATATTTAGTTTTCTTAATGATATTGTGAATATTGTTTTCCTAATTTCTTTCTTGATAGGTTCATTATTGGTGTACGGGAAGGCTATTGATTTTTTTTTTGTTGTTGTTATTGTTGTTTTTTGGTACTAGGGATTGAACTTGGGTCCTTGCACTTGCAAGGCGGGCACCAGAACCACTGAGCTGAATCCCCAGCCCTAGGCTATTGATTTTTGTGTGTTGATTTTTTATCCTGCTACACTGCTAAATTTGTTATTAATTTTTGGTGGAATATTTTGGGTCTTCTAAGTAAAGAATCACGTCATCTGCAAATAATGATAATTTTAACTTCTTCCTTTCCTGTACAGATTTTATTTCTTTCTCTTACCTGATTGCTTTGGCTAATGTGTCGAGTACTATATTGAACAGAAGTGGTGATAGTGGACATCCTTGTCTTGTTCCTGATTTTAGAGGGAAAGCTTTCAGCTTTTCCCCATTTAATATGATGTTGGCCATTTGATTGTCATAAATGGCTTTTATCAGATTGAGATAAGGTTCTTCTATATCTATTATCTTCAAGGTTTTTGAAAAATCAAAATGGATGTTGGATTTCATCAGAAGTTTTTCTGCACCTATTGATATGATCATGTGATTTTTGTCCTTGGTTCTCTTTATGGGTATACTGTATTTATTGATTTGCATATATTAAACCATTCTTGCATCCCTAGGATGAAATCTACTTTGTCATAAAGTATAATCTTTTTCATGACTTGTTACATTCTATTTGCTAGTATCTTGTTGAGAATTTTTGTGTCTATTTTCATTAAGGAGATTGGCCTGTAGTTTTCTTTTTTAGTTGGGTCCTGTTCTAGTTTTGGACTCAGGGTAGTGATCAGGGTAGCTTCCATGAATGAGTTTGCAAGTATTCCTTCCCTTTCATTTTCACTGAAGAGTTTAGGAGTATTGGTGTTATATCCTTTGTCGACTTCATTTTCTTGGTCTAGAATATTCTTAAATATTTTGGGGGATGCTGATTTGATATTCCTGTACCTCTCAAGAGGTTCTTTGTCATGGAATACCCTTATTTCCCCATCAATTTTGAAAGAAAAATTTGCAGGATATATTAGTCTGGGTTGGAAATTGTTTTCTTTTAGGGCTTGAAACACTTCTCTCCAAGCTCTCCTGGCCTTTAAAGTTTGTGTTGAGAATTCTGCTGTAATAATGGATTTACTTTTATAAGTGATTTTTTTTTTTTTGCCTTTTCTCTGGTAGCTTTTAAGGTTCTTTCTTTTTGTTGGACATCTGGCATTTTGACTATAATGTGTCATAGAGCTTCTTTTTTTTTGCAGTCATTTGGTGCTCTCTCTACAGGTAAACCTTACTTACCTGTAGCTTGAGTTCTTTTCTCATGCTTGGAAAATTTTCTGTTATGATTCCTGTAAACAGATGTTTTTATTCTATGTGTGCTATCTTCTAATTTCTCTCTAACTTAAGTTAGCCTTCTTAGTGTTCTCCAGTAGCTACTGGATGAATTTTCTTGCTCTTATAATTTTTAAGGCTTCTCTGAGTAATTCTTTCTGTATTTCCATTTTATCCTCAATTTCTGAAACCCTATCTTCACAGTGGTAATTTCTGCTGTTTATGAATTCCATGGAATTCTTTATCCCTGGGATTTCTGCTTCGCACCTGTTCACAGAGTCTGTATCTTTGGTAAGTTTGTTCTTCATGTTTTAAGCTGTTTTGGTCAGGTCTCCCAATTTTTTATTTGTTTGCCCACAACCACATTAGTTATGCTTCATGATTGCTTCACTATCATTTATTTGGGTTATGTCCTCTTTGAACTTGCTGAGTTTCTTTTCTTCCTCTTTAACATGTTCCTGATAGGGCTGTAATTTGTGTGTCTTGCTGCTGGGCAGCTCTGAATTGAATTTGATTGTCCTGGCTTGAACCACTGGTGGTATGTGCATGATTATCTGAAAAATGGGTGCCACTGTGGCTGCAAAACAGCTGAAGTATTATGATATTTTGCACACTTTCCATGAATAAGCCCTTTTGTATAATGTATTTTAAAGAAATTCATGAATATAAATAAAGTTCTTTAAATTTAATGAAATAAATAAACTTGATTATTGTAATTTTTAATCGGTATAGATAATATTAATATTTATATTTGGACAGTAATTATTCATATTCACACAACTAACTAGATTTGGTCTATTCATAGGCTTTATATTAATTTTATTAGTAAAAAGGCTGATAAAAGTGATTAGATTTTTTTG